GTCAGGCACTAAGCACATATTTTTTTTTCCAAATTGCTAAGTCATAGAGTATCCCACCATCAATTATTTATTTAGTTATTTATTTACTATTCCATCCCCCTTCCCCCCGCCCCCGTATTTTGAAACCTAAATGTTGGCAGGTATGGGTAGGGGGAACCCCCTGATTGCCATCGGGTATTTTGCACACTGCCTGTAGGTAAATAGCATACACCTGCCATCAATGAAAGTGATTCTGATCAAACCCAGATTAAAGTCAGCTGTTGCTGTAGGATTTTCTTGAATGTTTGGGGTTGCATCCTACTGGGAGAAAGAAACTGCGAGAGCTAATCGTTGAAAAGTACCGATCAGGAGAGGGATATCAAAGAATATCAAAGGCACTGGATGTACCATGGAGCGCTGTCAAAACCATGACCTTCCAAAGTTGATGAGAGGACGAGGAGAAAACCTATCAGGGAGGCTACCAAGAGGCCAACAGCAACACTGAAGGAGCCACAGGAAATTCTGGCAGGTACCAGTCACTCCTTGCATGTGACCACCATCTCTCGTATTCTGCACATGTCTGGGCTACGGGGTAGGGTGGCAAGACGGAAACCCTTTCTTACAGAAAGGAGCAGCCAAGCCCGTCTAAATTATGCCAAAAGATTCATTCAGTCACCCCAAACCATGTGGGAAAATGTGCTATGGTCTGACGAGACATAGGTTGAACTTTTCAGCCTAAATTGTAAAAGATACGTTTGGCGCAAAGCCAGTAAAGCTCATCATCCAAGGAACACCATACCGACTTTGAAGCATGGTGGTGGTAGCATGCTTTGGGGCTGCTTCTCTTCAGCTGGGTCAGGGGGCTCTTGTCAAGATAGATGGAATAATGAATAGCTCCAAATATCAAGATATTTTGGCACAAAAGCTGCTGGCCTCTGTCAGAAAGCCGAAGATGAAGAGGAATTTCACATTCCAACATGACAATGACCCAAAGCATACATCCAAGTTGACCAAGGCATGGCTTCAGAAAAGGAAAATCAAAGTCTTGGAATGGCCCAGTCAGAGCCCAGACCTCGATCCCATCGAAAACCTGTGGAATGACCTAAAGAGAGCTGTACACAGGAGACTCCCTTGCAATTTGAAGGAACTTGAATTTTTTTTCCAAAGAAGAGTGGGATAAAATTCCAAAGTCTAGATGCGCAAAGTTAATAGAGGCTTTACAAAGACTTGCCGCTGTAATAAATGCAAAAGGTGCTTCCACAAAGTATTAGTTGAGCGGGGTGTGCAGACTTATGCAATCTGGGTGTTGTTTATTTATTTATTTATTTTTCCCAATAATTAACGCTTCTTTCTTTCTCTGGATTTTTGTTTGTTGGAAGGTCATGTTAAAGATCGAAAGAGTCTGACATTTATGTTGATATTTCTATCTTTACATTTCAAAAATCTGAAATTTCATAAGGGTGTGTAGACTTTTTATATCCACTGTAAGCACCTTGTCTATCACCCTCACAATTTTTTTTTTGGCAGATTATATAATTAGTTTGTTAATACTTTTTGGTAGTTTAATGGGAATAGATGTGTATTATTAAGAAGGTGCTGAAGCCATGTCAGTGAGCCAGGTAATTATTCTCCATCCGAAAGTCATTGACACCCAGGAAAGAAATTACTCACCGATTCATGTGTGTAATACCGATGCAATGCTGTATTGTCTGAGGAGGACAGCTGTCTCCACAGTAGAAGTAGGCTGCAGGGGGTTGATTGGCAGGTCAGTGGGGTGGATACTTACAGATGTAGGGCCGGTGGGGAACAAACAAAGGAGAGACCTAACACACTGAGCTGAGGAAGCAGAGAGAGGCGTGGCTGTGTCTCTGGTGAAGAGAGAGGAGGTGGGGCCAGGGAGGAACTAAAGCATGGTCCCTCCAGTGATGCATCATCAGGGGGAAACAGAGAGATGTCTGTACTGCTGCTCCACATCCTGAAACATGCCAGAGTCAGAGCTCAAACATCCAGGAAAGAGTCTTACCTGTCTCAGGACCCCGCTAGAGGGGGAGTGACACACATTGATTTACCAGCAGGAACAAACATTTCCGTGAGAAAAACCATCAGAATCTATAATGCAGTTACTGTGCAAACACACAGTCTAGGCTAAGAGAAGAGAGGGACTCCAACCGAACTGGAAGAGTTCACTAATAATAAACAGAGTCAACAGTGCAGAAGGATGACATCCAGACCTGCCAGGCTGCATACCTGCCCTACACTGCCCTCTGCTGGCTGTTATGATGACCTGAACTGCTGTAAGGGAGATAACTCAATTCACCACTGAGAATGCTTCTGTGAACCCTTGCTGTCTAAAGCAGAGTTTACTCTCCATTCAAGAGGGGACCCTTGCACTGAAAATACTAACAGATAAAGATGGGTGTGCTTGTTTTATACAGTATTATACAGTATCTGCAGATGACTTTGCAGATCATTTCAACCTAAAGACTGTAAGCATTTGCATCCACAGCCCTTACATCTCACCTCCTGCTCTTTTTCCTCCCTCCCACTCGTCCACCCCTCCTCTGTCTAAATTCTCCCCTGTTTGTTTCAGATGCTGATTTGGCTCACCTCTTTACATCACATCAACCCACTGCCTGTGCCCTGGGATCCATTCCTTCACCCCTCCTGCAGACCATTGCTCCCAGTCTTCTTCCATTCATCATCGGTCTGATGAATCACTCTCTCTCCACGGGCAGTGTGCCGACAGCCTTCAAGGAGGCGCAAGTCACACCGCCGCTGAAGAAAAGGACTCTAGACCCGTCTGATGTCCACAACTATTGGCCTCGGTCTCTCTCCTTCCCTTTCTGTCTAAGACACTTGAAACGGGTTGTGGCTAACCAGCTATCCTCCTTTCTCTCCTGGAATAACCTTCCTGACCCTTATCAGTCTGGCTTCAGGGTTGGTCATTCCACAGAGACTGCCCTATTCTCCATTACTGAGGCTCAGACTCAATCAGCCAGAGCTTCCTCCCACTCCTCAGTCTTGATTCTTCTAGACTTCTCTGCAGCCTTTGACACAGTGGACCACGCTCTCCTTCTTTCCACCCTGGCTACTTTGGGTATCACTGACACCGCTCTTCTTTGGGTTGAATCCTACCTCTTGGGACGCTCTTTCAGGGGGTCCTGAAACAGTGGGTTGTCTAGACCCCACAGCCTGTCTACGGGCATCCCTCAAGGCTCTGTACTTGGCCCCCTCCTCTTCTCTTTCTACATGCAATCTCTCGGGTGTATCATCTCCTCCCACGGTTTTTCGTATCATTTCTACTCCGACGACACACAATTCTTCCTTTCATTGCCACCGTCTGACACATAGGTTTCTGCACGTATCTCAGCTTGCCTGAAAGACATTTCACAGTAGATGGTGGACCACCGCCTGAAGCTGAACCTGGCCAAAACTGAGATGCTATTCTTCCCATTGAAGTCCTTTCCATTTCAAGAACTCTCCCTCAGCTTAGTCTCTACAAGCCTGACCACCAATAGCACTGTCAAGAGGCCTGGTGTAATGCTTGATAGCCAACTATCCTTCTCCTCTCAGGTGGCAGCAGTGAGTCAGGCGTGCAGATTCTTCTTGTGCAACATCCAAAGGATCCGCCCCTATCTGACTACACGTTCTACACAGCTCCTAGTTCAGGCCCTGGTCCTCTCACGCCTGGTCTACTGTAACTCCCTCCTTGCTTGCCTTCCTGGCTGTGCAATCAAACCTCTACAACTAATCCAGAATGCAGCTGCATGACTTGTCTACAATCTCCCTAAAAATAGTCAAGTTACTCCTCTCCTCACCTCACTTCCCTGGCTTCCTGTCATTGCTCACATCAAGTTCAAAACTTTTGTGTTGGCATACAGGACAGTGAATGGGACAGCCCCCTCATACCTACAACCTCTCTTCCAGCCCTAAGTTCCCCCAAGATCGCTGCGCTCTGCATCTGCAGGACAACTGACTATCCCGACCCTACGGGGTCGCTCTTTTCAGACATGATCCCTGTCTGTATTGGTCCCTCAGTGGTGGAATGAACTCCCCAAGGAGGTTAGGTCAGCGGATTTACTGGCCATCTTCTGACGCAGACTGAAGACCAACCCTGAGCAGTAGAAGTCCCTTGTTTCCATAGGCGGCTAACGTTTAGGTGAATAAAAAATGTACATATGCACAGACATACAAACACACATGAGCACACATACATGCATTGCTTCAGATGGAGTATGGGTATTGTACTCTCTCTCACACACAAAGTGAGAAAGAAAGAATGTGTGTGCTTATACTTGAACAAAAACTTGTGTATTTGCAGCAGTGCCCCTTCCCCTACCCCACCTCTGACGACGTTGCTCATGGTAAGACTGTGTTTTCTGGTCAGTTTGCCACACAATTTGAAATAACCAAATAAAATGAACAACATTTCTTGCAGGAGAGGATTGTTTTCTCACATGGAATGGAGTCAGGGCTGGGCTCATAATGTTATACAGGTGCTGCACATGTCAGTTGACATCCACCTGAGGTTACAGCCGGGGCAGGTTTGCCAAGTCTGCCGACCCAAAGACGGACCGTGAAGCAAGCACAATGTGTTACAAACGTGAGAAATACATCTGTAAAGCCAATGCTTGCAGACTTGCATACTGTCATACATGTGCTAAATAGAGAAATACACAGCCATGTGCTTGGTGCTCATGCTTCCCAAAATAAGAAACAAAAAAAAATCTATTATTGTGTGATTAGTAGTAAAAACAAGTGGCATACAGATAACAAATGCAGTCTCTCCACACTGTGAAGTATGAAAACACAGTTATTCATCAAGCTGTTGAGTGACATGTTGTTTCTTCATGCAAAATAGATTTGGGGCTTCAATTTCAATTAAGAGGCTTTGTCATGCGGGTGTGGCGACGGTGGATCATTTTTGACCCGACGGACAAGGGGAGTATACAGAATATTAAGATTACACAAGGGTTAAGTCCACGGATAGGGGGACGGATATCAGGAACTAGAGTAATCGCGGCAGTGTGGTGTTGTGGTAAGGCGCAAGGCTCCTAACCAAAAGGTCGCTGTTTCGAATCCCACCAGGGCCCTCCTGTTGTATCCTTGGCCAAGGTACTTAACCCACAGCTACCTCCGTAAATATCCAGCTGTATAAATAAAATTGCACGCGGCTCTGTATAAGAGCGTCTGCTACATGACAATAGTGTAATGTCCTATGCGATCTGGTTTCGACCACGGGCAACGTTGAAAGGCAGCCAGAAAAAAATAGTCTGTGTTGTATGCCAAAAAAAAAAAAAAACATGTTTGAGAACCCCCGACAACATACGCGGGCACGACGACAGAGAGGCAGATGACGGTAGTGATCAAAATCTCCCCCAAGGGCGGCAGAAGAGGAAACACGGTTTGACGTGTGCTTTAACTGGTACAAAAGGAGTCCGATTTAAAACTCACGCTCGGTAAAGAAACGACTGGCATCGTCTTTTCGAGCTGCGCGTGGGTCTTGCGTGAATGGATGACACGCGATGTCAGAGTGCAGCAAATGTTTTAGCTGCTTTAAGTGTGAAAATCTGCACGAAAAGCAGTGTGAGGGGTTGTGTCTCCCTGCAAAGTGGCTAGGTTTAGGGCATGTCGCACGAAACTATAGCAGAACTCCGTAACACGGAGGGGTGTGATGCGGGCGGAAAGGCTTTCCGTGAGTATTCCGTGCTAGTTTCACCTGCAGAACAGTTGCAGGGTTGATTTTTTGACTGTTTTGCACGAAGAGAAAACACAAGCGGACAGAGGTGGCGGGAGCACCGAATAGTTGCCGGAGGGGTTGAGTCTACACGGTTCTCATGTGATGTTTAAGACCAACCTCCTGCTTGACGAGCAGCTCTGAATCAGACTGTACTACAGACTGCGCGTGTGTTAGACGAGAGAAGCGAACGGAAGGAAAATGGCTGAAGTGGCACCAGCTCCCGCCGCCCCCGCACCGGCCAAGGCTCCCAAAAAGAAAGCAGCGAGCAAGCCCAAGAAATCGGGCCCCAGCGTTGGAGAATTGATCTTCAAGACCGTGTCCGCCTCCAAGGAGAGGAGCGGAGTGTCTCTCGCCGCCCTGAAGAAAGCTCTGGCGGCCGGCGGCTACGATGTGGAGAAGAACAACTCCCGCGTCAAGCTGGCACTCAAGAGCCTGGTGACCAAGGGGACCCTGTTGCAGACCAAAGGAACCGGCGCCTCTGGCTCTTTCAAGCTCAACAAAAAGCAAGCCGAGGCTGCGAAAAAGAAGCCCGCAAAGAAAGCAGCTCTTAAAGCGAAGACGCCGGCCGTCAAGAAACCCGCTGCTGCCAAAAAGTCCAAGAAGGTAGCGAAAAAGAAGCCGGCCGCCGCCAAGAAGTCACCGAAGAAGGCGAAAAAGCCCGCGGCACCCAAGAAGGCCACGAAGAGCCCCAAGAAAGCCAAGAAGCCGGCAGCAGCCAAGAAGGCGACCAAGAGTCCCAAGAAGACCAAGGCAGCCAAGCCCAAGGTGGCAAAACCCAAGACCGCCAAAGCCAAGAAAACGGCTCCCAAGAAGAAGTGAATATTTGAAGTTTCATTTCTCGCACAGCAAAGGCTCTTTTAAGAGCCACCCAAACGCTCCCTGAAAGCGCGAACACGTTCTGTGCCTGCAGTTGCGACTGTGCTGTATAACCAGCTCGATTGCTGTGAGTACACGTGCAGCTCCCTTAAAGAAATGAGCCCGGTCTTGTTCAGATCTTTGTGCGCCTCTCCTTTCCTGCTAACTTGCCACACCCTCACGCTCTACTTAGTGTCTCGGTAGCAGCAATTCGTGAATCAATGCTGAATTGCCCCTGCCTGTCCTTTAGTAGCAGTATGGATCCCAAGAGTGGGAAACAGATTTATCATTGTACACCTCAAGTAATGCACAAATCTGGAGAGAGAAACAGTGCAGAGGAGCGACGCAGACTACTTAAAAGGATTTTTAAAAAAAGTAATGACGCATATTCAATAAGCGAGGGTAACTGTATCTATAGACCTGTCGGCTATACGTTTACAAGTGATTAATGGCTCTGTGTGGAGGCTGTTGTATCGCTACATTTCAGTGGCGTGTTGAATTCTCCACCGGTAACACTGTAAAAGCTGAGCGCCCGCGCAGAAGGCCTGTTCCAATTTGATTGGATAAAATGCCATCGACGCCTTATCCAATGAATGCGTTGCGTGTGGCTATAAGCTAGGCTCGCGAGCGTCGGTTGTGTTCTTTGACAGTTGTCGAAAAAGCGGAGCAAGGCTAACCATGAGTGGAAGAGGTAAAACGGGCGGCAAAGCAAGGGCAAAGGCCAAAACTCGTTCGTCCAGGGCTGGACTCCAGTTCCCGGTCGGCCGTGTTCACAGACTGCTCCGCAAAGGGAACTACGCCCAGCGCGTCGGCGCAGGTGCCCCGGTCTACTTGGCCGCCGTGCTCGAGTACCTTACGGCTGAGATTCTAGAGCTAGCTGGTAACGCTGCTCGGGACAACAAGAAGACCCGTATCATTCCCCGTCACCTGCAGCTTGCAGTGCGTAACGACGAAGAGCTGAACAAGCTCCTGGGTGGCGTCACTATCGCTCAGGGCGGAGTTCTGCCTAACATCCAGGCTGTGCTGCTGCCCAAGAAGACCGAGAAAGCAGCCAAGGCCAAGTAATTGTCGCAACGACCATCACTGGCCCCAGACCCAAAGGCTCTTTTGAGAGCCACCCACCGATGTCTTAAAAATGTGCAAAACTGGCCTCTACTCGAGTGTGCCTGCGGTCAACGTTAAGCCAGTTGCCACATATTAGTCAACAGAATATTTCGATGGGATCACACAGTTTTCATCGGCTGCAAAATAAATGGGGTAGGTGAATGCATACCCTCAAAGTGTACTTGATGATCATCCGGGTTGTTGATCTTGTCTAGTGACCTCTCTCTCGGTCGTGATTAGGCGGAACTGTAGCGGCATTGTCACCAAGCCGACTGAAACGACTCGTTAGCTTGTGAAAGAGCATTTGGCACTGGTTACAGCGAGAACAACGGTAAAAGGGGTTTTCTTTAAACGGAACAAAGGGCGTTGTGCTTGTGGAAGGTTTGCGAGAAGATGGGGAAAGAAGGCGGAAGCAGAGAGAGATGTTTGAATTTTAGGCGGCACGATGACGATGAAGGAACGACTCAATGGCCACAGACAAGGAAGTGAGGTGCGGACCAATGAGAACTCCGTATAAGCTCATCCAATCAGCCTTTGACTGCTACGCCTTATAAACATGTGCTGAGGGCTTGGCTGCTACTTTTCTGTGAAGAAACGTGTGTCCCGTCGAGATGGCTAGAACCAAGCAGACTGCACGTAAATCTACCGGTGGTAAAGCCCCCCGGAAGCAGCTCGCCACCAAGGCTGCGCGTAAGAGCGCGCCCGCAACGGGCGGTGTGAAGAAGCCTCACCGCTACAGGCCTGGCACAGTGGCTCTGAGAGAAATCCGCCGTTACCAGAAGTCCACCGAGCTTCTGATTCGCAAACTGCCCTTCCAGCGGCTGGTGAGAGAAATTGCCCAGGATTTCAAGACCGACCTGCGTTTCCAGAGTTCTGCTGTCATGGCTCTGCAGGAAGCCAGCGAGGCCTATCTGGTTGGCCTGTTTGAGGACACCAACCTGTGCGCCATCCACGCCAAGAGGGTGACCATAATGCCCAAGGACATTCAGCTGGCCCGCCGCATCCGAGGCGAGCGCGCTTGAAATGCGCGACTACACTGTCTAACGCCCAATATCCAACGGCTCTTTTAAGAGCCACTTCAGTGTGTCTCAGAAGCGCAGATCTCTCCATGTTGTCATATTCCATGTGGATCCAGGCGACATGTAATTGTGTGCTGGTGAATTGTGTTTCAAGCATTCTCCAAATAGCAAAGTATTTCCACCCAGTCCGTAGATGCGCTGTGAGCTGAGCGTGATGTGAACGTTTGAGTCCCAGTATTCTCTCGCAGGTGTACGCGCCGTTACGACGTGGCAGACAACACACATTGCACAGGCTTGTAGTGGGAGTCACAGCGAGGTTGTTTGTGCAGTGTTTGCATTGTTTCATATTTCAATCTATACTAGAATGTTTAACGTCATAGAACGTCGCGTAGACTTTAAAATGAACCATTTTCTACGTTGAACCATTTCTACTTTCACTGCTTCACAAACAAATTTTCCTTTTTGTTTGTATTTATTGTATGAATGTGTATTTTTCTTTTGGGCCTCAGCTTTACCAATAAATTCACACCTTACCACCATTAAGCTCTTTCAGCTTCACCTCTGTTTTTTTTTGTGCATGAGACTGTTGATTCCAGGGCTTTTACCTGTTGTTATTATTAATTATTTCACATCTAACCTGTTGGTTTTCTCAGAACATAACTAAGAATCACAAATAAATGTGGTGTCTCAGTCTTTTATTTCCTTGATTTCAGTCTCCTTCATATTTAGTTGGTGCTCCCCTTTGATTCTGAATAAACCAAGGACTGTCACAGTCACAGAGCAGCAACACACAAGATACATATTTGTGGCCTCTGTAAATACTAACACCGCTCAAGCGGTGGTCCATCCCCTTTCATGGAGACTCCCATGGACATAGTCTTAATAGTCTGAAAAGATTTGCGCACTGAAAGTGTGGTCAGGGGCAGGATCGATCCACTCATCTACTCAGATGAGCTGCTGTTGGGACAGTATAGGTTCCTCAGACAAGGTATTGTCTACTTTTGCAATTTACTGGAGCCATTTATAGCAAATGTCACCTGCCAGCGCTCATCGTACGCCATATCCCAAACCCTCTGCATTGGGCTTTGTTTTCTGCAACGTGGCGCTTTCTTACACAGTTGGGAATACAGAACTCCACCATATGCTGGACAGTGCAGAAACAGCACCTTGCTTTGAAAAGACTTTTTAAATGTCTAGATGTTACTTTAGACCTCTCTACTGCAAGTGAACCATGTTTCTTTTACAGTGATCAAAACAGGGAATAAGGCCCATGCTAAGGTGTCTAATTAAGACCATTCATATCTTTGTTAACTTTTAGTATCTTAAGTAAGCTGTGTTCTTAATTTCTTCCATCAATATATATTGTGTATACCAC